GTTCTAGAAAATCAGTAAAAATCAAATTAGAATTGCAATACTTCAATAAAAGGCCATAGAACAAGTTATTAGAATGTGTCACCATTTTATGCAAGACTGGAAGAAGGTCCAATGGTGGGGGGGTGTAAACCTGGGAGACTGTTTCCATTTGAAAAAATCAATCAATAAATCCAAACTCAATAAATCTTAAACAATAACTGATCCTTTTGTAATGAAATGATTCTTAGGAGATCTCAGATCTTTGTCCAACATTAACTCTGACCACAAGGAGGATTTATCAGCTACCTTCTTCTCGGAGGGCATGCTGCTGAAGGACACCGTCTTCTTCCTGCCGCCACCCACCTTCTGCACCGAGGGATCCTGGAGAGACACAGAAACCAGGAAACAGAAGCAAAGTTTAGTTTTTCTTATTAAAAGCAGAAAAGCTACAAAAAGAAGCAAAGCTCCAGAAATAAAAGAAACTCTGAACTGCAAAAACGATCCAAAAATTAGTAAAAATGTCTTAAATTCAGTGCATTTACTCTCAATTTCAGCAGATTTGCCAAAAGAATGAGATTTTCACTCGTGAAATAAGATAATTAGATAATATTAACTAAAAATAAGACACTGCAGTTGTTTTTTTCTTATTTTAAATGTAAACTGTCTTATTCCATTTTTTTTTTGCAGTGTGTAACAACAGATTTTCTTTTCAATCTCAGTTTCAACAAGAAGTGCTTCACTTTGAGTAGGCAGGGGCCATAGGTGCAAACCACAGGGGAGGTAACCTTTAAACAGTGACCTTTAAAGCTGTGGGTTACCCTCATACACGTCGCAGAAGCAGGTCAGAAAATTTTTGAAGAAATGCTGAAGAGTTTATTTTAAACAAACACCAGAGCTGAGGTTCTTAGCTGAGATTATCTCAGGAATAAACATTTTCAAATGTTAAATCATTTGCACCCATTTTCCAGGACCACCATGTAACGTCTGAGAGCAGATTACATAAAGCGTCCTATTTATGGTAGAGTTAGAGCAGCAGCCAGCGGTTTATTAACACGTCAGTCAGTGTTAGAGCAACACATGGATTAAAGGTAGGCGGCAGTAGCCCCCATCCAGAGAGCAGATGTAGAGCTGCTATGAGCAGATGGGTTTCTAATAACACCTGACAGGAAATACACACCTTTATCAGGGAATATGCTATATGAGCTCATTTTAATAGTTTAACAGTGTTTACTCAAGAAAAACTAAATCCCAGTAAAAAAAATAATCAATATTACTAGGGATGCACGATATTGGGATTTTGGCCGATATCCGATATGCCGATATTTTAAAACTCATGTAGCCGATAACCGATATC